ACGTGTTTGTTCTTTGTCAATTTAAAGAGATTTATGATGTTGAGGGAACTTAATTTTCTTCTTTTTCTTTTCTTCAAACTATGAACACTAGCTCATATACCTGCTTCTCCTACTTGTGTGAGTAACTAATTTCCTTACACAAGTTGTGTAATAATGATGGCTTATAGAGGCATATTCTTCAGGGATGATGCAGTGGCCATTATGAATAGGATAGTGGATCCCCTTATGATGCCAGGTGCTTAAGCTCCAGTTCCTTCATTGGTGCTCCTTCCCCTTCTTTTGTGGGGTGAATGAGGAGGACAGATTTGATTGTTCCTTCACCTGTTGTGGCTTTGGGAACATCTCTCCCTGTTGAAGAGAACCTTAACCTTTCTCACATTCTTCAGCCTTGATGTATCTTTTATGCACCATTCTCTATACCTAAATTCTGAGGCACTCTGCTGTGCTCCAGACTATCTTGTTTCCTTCACTTCTCCATTGTGGCTGTTCCCCTTTTACCCTTCCTGCTCACTTGCCTTCTTGTTACTGGAGATTGTTGTGTAAGCATACTCTCCTATCCAAAATTTTACTTTTTTCTTCCATTCTTCAAGCCCTTTGTCTAGCCCTTTCTTTGCCCTGAAGTTTGAAGGTATTCTTGATTTAATTGAATCCTGGGCTGAGGCTACCTATCATCAATCCTTGCTTTCTTAAGTTGTTTCTACATTGTCTCCAACCCTACCCTCCACCATTGTACTTCTTCTTCGTTCCTTAGTTCCCCATCTTTTTCATTTCTAACTTCACCTTCTACCCGGTTTCAGTCCCATTGAGCTCATTAGTGATGTTTCCATTGTGTCAGATTCCATAGGTCCCTGTCTGTCTACACAAGGGTTTTTCTATTTTTTACCCATGGACTTTCTTTTCACTTCCCTTACCCTACTCCTTTCAGCTCTCCTTTGTTTTCGTTCTCCTTCCATCTGTGTTTAAGGTCTTTTCAAAGCTGTGTTCATCACCACTTCCACCAATTCCTCACTTTCAGTCAATATCTTATTCACCGAGGGAGTATTTTTCAACTCATTTTCAGCTGGGATTAGCCTTCTCCCATCTGTCTGTGAGCATTGGACCTTACTGTCATTAGGATTTGTGCCTGTCCCATTCACTCTGCGTGTGAAGTTTTGTGTTTGATGACCATGGCCACATGGGGACTGCTTATCCCTTTGGGTCACATGCATAGACACCTCCTCAGTTGATCCTTGTGAGACAACTGGTATGCCTCACAGGATTTTTTTACTTCAGTGGTTCTCCTGTCCCTACTTCCATTCTAATATTTGTATGGTGTTCCATTACCTCCACCCAATCTGTTCCTAAAACTCTTCCCCCATGCTTTCCCCTTCATTTAGGAAGCATCCTTGAATGTCTCTTTTACATCTGGCTCATGGGCCCAGGGTGAGTCCTTTCTCCATATTCATGCACTTGAACTTCTGGTATGCTGTTGGACATGATACTATTGTTACCTCTCCTAGTGGATCATTTTATTATTTTCCATTTCACCAACTCCTTAGTTTTTCCTAAATTAACCACCTTGGAGTAATCCAATCCAGAATTCCTTGCTTGTGGACTATTGGACATCTCCCTTCCCTTTACCAGGCTGTTCTACAGGGTTCAACTGTCTCTGCCTTTGCTAATTATTGGGCACCCTTTTCTTCACCATTTTGCATGCTCGATCCTACAAGGTGTCTCCTCCCCTGTTCTCTCCACTTTAAGATCTGTCTTTATCCATACACACACTTGTCCTGTTCCCATACCTGACTGGGATGACATTTTCATCCTGCACGCTTTTACCCATGTTTATTCAAACCATTGGTAACCTACAATTTCTAACACCTACTCTTCTTTCTGCTATCTGGTTTTTCCTCAGTCTTCAGCCATATGGGGAGGAGATTTCTACCTTTCTCCAGGGACAAATCTCCTTCTGCCTTTATTGGTACAGTCCACCACATATTTTGTTTGGTCTCCTCCTCTGTAGAGGTTTTTGCTCGCAGATAATCTTCATTTCATCCCATCAGATTTATCACCTTTTTCATTCTCATGCTGCTTGTTTCCTACCACCACTGGACAAGCTCATTTATGCTGGCATGTTGACTTACCTTGCATAACTTCATCACCCACTCTTCACCATCTGGCTGTCTTGTCTCCTGGGGGTCACTGCCTGCCTCTAACTGCTGTCCTGCAACATACACAGTCTTTAGATGTATGAGTACATTCCACTTTGGTTTATAGCATTTGCTTCTGAGACTCCGCCTGGTCATGAGGTGAAGATGGTTGGAACTCTCCTCCTTCCATGGACTGGAAGACATACTTGTTGCCACCTGGTTTTGAACTTGAGTTGATCCACCAAATACCTGCAATCATCTCCCATTCAGATGATTTGAGCACTTCCAAATAAATCATGCCCTCCTTCTGCAGCAGATGGCTGTTCTGTTTAATCAATGCACATACAAACATTATACAATCTATGGCATGTATTTTGTACACTCCTCTTGCAGCTTGTGGCAGTCCAAAAAGTCTGATGGTAGAGTTGAGATGAGCACTCTGTATGGTCTGAATGAGCCCCAACCATGCTGTCCATAAAGGCTCTCCAACCTCTTGTTTGCCTGTTCTTCCCTTCCAATCTGGATGAAAAGTGTACCCTGAAAGAGATGAGATGTGATCTCTCACGGGTGTATTCGTATGGAGTCCTTGTCATTAGGTGTCACACTACATGGGTTTCCTTCTGGTGCTTTCTGAAGGGAGCATATCTAGGTAACCTTACAACTGTTCCTCTACCATATCAACATACTGTACAGAGGTGTTTATTGCCTCAGAAGTTAACATTTTCCATACTTGAAAATGTATTTCTGATAGATACTCACCTTTTCACACACTTTCTTCCCACTTCCAGCATAACTTTGTATTCCTTGCCTTGTCATAGAATGAATATCACGAGTGCAAAAGCAGATAGAGGTTGTGTCACCCTCCTATAGGTGGATGGCTTTTGCTGCATAATAATGTCATTATGCAGTAGTGCCAATCTTGAGAAATCTTGTCTAAAGTTGTTTAAAGGCTAGTAGCACACAAATCTCCAAGGGAAAGATAGCTTTCTGTATGCATAGGTGAGTATCTATTGGAAATACATTTTCAGGTAAAGTAAAATATTAACTTTCACAAGCTCTTTATCCAACTAT